ATAGATAGATAGATAGATAGATAGATAGATAGATATGTATATATACACAGACGAGGAGCCTATGCTCCTCATATATATATATATACACATAGATAACACAAGTAAACACAAAATGTATTTACTAAATAAAGGTGTTTTTTATTGGGGGTAAAATAAATCCAAACCAAGAATTGAGAGTATGAATTAATTTATTTTTTGAGAAGCTGAAAACATATATTCTAATACTTGAGATGTTGTATTTGATGATACCGTATGTAACTATAAGCCATAATGAGCCATATTAAAACAAAAAGGCATGAAATATTTCACTTTGCATGCAATGAATATAAAATATGTTAAAGTTGACCTTTTTGAATGAAATTACGAGAAAACTGGATTTCATGACAATTTTTTCAGTTTTATTTGATAGACTCAGTGAAGAGAATGATGGGAAAGTAGGGGCAGCGAGAGAAGGGGCAAGACATGCAGCAAGGGGCTGCGGGACGCACTCGAACTATTAATTAAAAATATCATGCATGCGGCTCTACCACAGTTTAATTCTAACAGAGAGACCCTTCAGTAAATAAATGGCCTTCTGGGTTTTCTGTGTCATGAAAGTGGCTCTCTTTTTACTCGGCTAAATTCATGGTAATTTATGATAAACACATAACTCAAGAGTAAATTATGTTCAACATTTCATTTTAAAAATGAAGTTTCTTTAGAAAAAGAAACATTTGAATATTTGGGAATAAATGTAACCCGCACAATGATGGAGTTGCGGATTCATAATTTTGACACGTTGTTAGAACAAACATCACAAGATTTTAAAATATGGGCAACACTTCCAATCTCATTAGCAGGCAGAATTAATATAGTTAAAATTGAAGTCTTACCAAAATTTCTCTATGTTTTCCAAATGATTAAGACAGATTTAGACAGATTAATAGCAACATTTATTTGGAAAAATTCAAATCCCAGAATGGAAAAAACATATTTGGAAGTACCAAAAGAGGCTGGGGGGCTAGGGTTGCCAAATTTTATCTTTTAACACTGGGTGGCTAATATCACCAAACTATTGCACTGGAAATATGTTTATGAGAATGGCGAGGGTGAGGGTAAAAATGGAACTGATGTCTAATCCACTTCCCCTCCTAACCTCATCCCTAGCTCTAAATCAAAAACAGAAAATAACAATTCCAGTTGTAAGAACATCTATTCGAATTTGGCTTCAATTCAGAAGGCACTTCTGTTTGCAACAGGTTAGTAAATTTTTGCCTGTTGCTTTTAACCCTTTTTTGCCATCCATTTCAGATAAAGCATTCCAAATTTGGCATAATAATGGTTTGAAGTTTTTTTTACAATTTATTTTCAGGAGAAACTTTTAACACCTTTGACGCTCTGATGAGAGATTACAATATACCAACCTCACATATGTTTAGATACCTGCAAATA